CCCCGGAGCCTCCGCTGTGGGGACACATGCAGGAAACAGCCCGGGGGGGACGCGTCGCAGCAACGATCTCCAGCCACAGCCTTGTCGTGGGGACGGCATTCCGCGCTCAGCCAGAGCGACGGCGCGGCGGCAGGCGGCCTCCAACCCACACGTCAGTCCTGAGCCTGCCGGCCCGAGGTTCCAGAGAATTCACGCTCGCTCTAGTTCTCCGTCTCGGCGGTCCTGGGGCCCAGGTGGCCCAGGAGGTTGAGGCTCAGCAACGCAGCTGAAGCGTCCAAAACGAGGCGTGGGCAGGACCTCCTAGCTAAGAGCGGAGCCCCCGGGGGAGTGGCGGGCACCCTTGACACGGGCCGCTCCGGCGCACAGGGACGTAGCCACCTTTCCTGAACCCCACGACCGCTCCGCGCTCCCAGCGAGCTCGCCCGGCGCCCGCGTTCCTCCCAGGCCCACTAAAGAAAGCAGAGCCGCCTAGTGGTGGTTGTGTTGCGTTAGCCGGCTTCCTACTTCAGGCTTTTTTCATGGTTAAATATTCCGAAAAGAGGTGCTTTTGAATCTGAAGTAGTTGGTTCTTTTTCAGGAGAAAGATAAATTTTACATCAGTAGCTAAAATAGGGTAGTAAATGTAAGTTCAAATGTAAAATGAATATATGAAAAGGCGTAAAAGCCATGGTCCATGTCTCGTACCTGAAGCCCCAGCTATTCCGAGGCTAAGGCAAGAAGTCTCTTGATCCCAGAGCTGAGGCCCGCCTGGGCAACACAGTGAGACGCTGCCAAAACAAAGCAGCAGTCAGGACAGGCGTCGTTCCTTAGGTTTCCTGCAAACTGGGGCAGGCCTTTGTGGTCAAATCTATGTTTTAAATCTGTCCCCTTTTGGACCTGGCCTCACGCAGATCTTCACTTAGCTTCTCGGGTTTGAACAGCAACCACTCCACACGCTGCCGCGCACTCAGTTCCACAGGTAATGCCTAACGCACTGTGGGATAGTTAGTGCTGACGCTGAAATTACCTATTAAGCACGAAGCCCCGGATTGCATTTAGTGGGCTTATGCACATCCAGAGAAAGGGCCTCAGACAAATATTTTCTGGTTCCAGCGTGTGTGTGTGTGTGTGTATGTGTGTGTGTGTGTGTGTGTGTGTGTGTTACTGGAAACTGAAACCAGAGGCTTCACGCTGAACTACGTTACCCCGCCCCTGTCCCTCCTTTTTAGACAGGGTGTCGACAAATTGCCCAGGCAGGACTCGATCCTCAGCTCCCAGCTGAGGTCTTTACAGGTGTGGGTCTTAATCATTTAGAAAGCCACAGAGCACCCTTAAGGCCCTCAGTTAGGGGACACAAAATGTTTTTATAGAATTAACCATATCCCCATTGAAGACAACTGAGAGTCTGTTTTCAATGAGATGATCACTATTTCTGATAAGAGTCCAGATATAGTAATGTCTTTATTAAAACTAAATTGGCAGTGATGACACTGAAACGCCTTAGCAGAAGCTAGGGAGCCCCTGGCCAGCTGGAGCTGGGCTTGAAAGAGATGTGAGGCCTACTGTGGGGTGGGGGTGGGGAGGCTGACTTCCAGGGGAGTTCTCCGTGGGCCTTTCCGGAGAGGAGCTAGGTCAGGAGCGCTCCAGGGCGCTCTGATTCCCCTGTGCTGTGGGAATCTGCCCGTGTGCAGCACAGTTGATGTCTTAGCAAAGTCCGCTCCATGTGGTTTAGGAGTCCCTGGGGCTGGACGCGCCAGGACCTGTTCACTGCGGTGCTGGGGTGGGGTGGGGGCAGTCGGTCGCTGCACAGAGTTTGGGGTCCCCGTTGGCACACATCAGACCACATCCCAACCGTTCTTTTCTAAGTTAAATTCTGAAAACGTTAAGTGTTTTGGCAGAGTTCTACCTGAATGCAAATATGAAAAGTTTCCAGAAAGGGTAAACATTATTGACTTTAGCGGCCTCTTAAAATCATTGTTCTTATCTATCATATTACTTGGTTCACCTTCTGCCTTAGGGTTCTCTGAGCCCTATTTTTCTGTTTTGTGTCAAGATAGCCATACATGTGTATTGTAACTTCATTTTCAAAAACGAGAACTTTTAAAAATAAATCTCCCAATATCTGTGTTTGAAAAAAGGGGGCGTGGTGGCGCACTCCTGTAATCCCAGCACTTGGGAGGCTGAGGCAGGAGGATCTAGGCTACATAGTGAGTTGCAGGTCAGTCTCAGCTCCATAGTGAGACCCAGTCTCAAAAAAAAAAAAAAAAAAAAAAAAATTGGGCCGGGAATTTAGCTCAGCGGTTTGG